CCTGTACTGTACTTTCACAATTTACAAAAACTGTAAAAGATGTAAACTCTAAAAAAGAAAGATACGGCCAACTCTAAAATCATTGTCAGATTTGTGCTTTAAGGTATATTATAAACAACTTGCCTAACATTTCCAAAGTATGCCCTTAAAATTTTCAAGAAGACACATTGTGTAAAATTTGGACTTGGGTTTCAGGTTCTTCCTAATTCACTAGACTCACTTCATCTTGAGCAATATAGAAAACTTAATGGGCAATCATTTCATGAAAATGGTTCTCAACTAGGTCAAGTTTATCCCCTACAATGCCAGAGGACATTCAGAGATGTCTGGAAACATTTTTAGTTGTCATAGCTGGGGGTGCTGCTGGGAGGGGATGTTTCTGGCATCTGGTGGATAGAGGCCAGGGATACTACTGAGAACAACAAATTATCTGAAAATGCCAGTAGAGCCAAGGTTGAGAACCCTGTTTCATGAGGCAGTGGTACCCAGGCTCAAGTGGAAGGTCCTCTCTAATGACATGGGGATTCGTCCCCTAACAAATATCCAAGGGCAGGCAAAAGTTTTCTATTCACATTCTACTTTTTCCTTCCAACTCCTTCCTGTCTGGCCTATGGCCAGGGCATTCATTTAAACAACAACAACAACAACAACAAAAAAAATTGTGCAAAATAGAACTAGTATAAAAGTTCAAGCCAATATATTTAGGTGCAATTTCTTATTTTTTCTCTCTGATCAGGGACTATTTTACAGAAGAATTTTATGAATGGTATTATTTGGATGTCTTTATAAAGCCATGGATTAAAATGAAACTGAGCAGATGTTGTTGGGATAAATAACAGAAGAAAGGAAAACTTTTATTCAACTGTAACTGCCTCCGGAATAATTATTATCCCAAAATTAGACTAGAATTTTTCTTAAGAAAAATTAATTAACATATTTGAATGTTGTTTCTTTTATATGTTGATTAATGATAACAATATTTTTATGTATTCTAAGAAAATCAAAGTGTTTAATAGTAATAGAAATTCATGTGCTATTTAAAATTGTATGTACCACATACTCTTTTTAATCCTATGTGCATTATTTCATCAAATCTCATGTACCTATTTATTTTAGTTTTTCAGTGCTGGGGTTCAAATCCAGGATACACATGTGAGGCAAGAATACTCTACCATTGAGTTACATCCCCAGCCCTCAATATAACCACTTAGTAAATGTGGAAACTAAAGACCCAGAAAGGTGAAGTTATTTTCCCAAGATTATATGAACTAGTAAGAAGCACACAAGGATTTGAATTTATGTCCTCTGACCCTGACCAAATTTATATTATGTATACAATCTGATTCTGCCTATCTCATTATCCTCATTCACAAGATCATGCAAAGCATAGAATAAATCTTTTGGCAATTTAAAAATGCTCTCCTAAATAAAGCCAAAGTACAACTATGATAATATATTATTATAGGAAATACATTATGTTCATTATAAAATACTCCAAAATAAAATTTTAAAAACGAGGGCTGGGATTGTGACTCAGTGGTAAAACGCCCACCTAGCACGGGCGCGACCTGGGTTCGATTCTCAGCACCATATAAAAATAAGGGCATTTTATTGTGTCCATCTACAAAAAAAGATTCTCTCTCTCTCTCTCTCTCTCTCTCTCTCTCTCTCTCTCTCTC